TCCTTTTTTTTCCAAAAAAAAAAAAAAAAAAAAAAAAAAAAAATTCAAAACACGAGTGAAAAACAAATCAATTCCGTTTGGTGCATTTACCATCTCTCCAAATCCAACATAACACACAAACAAATGTAGCCACTAAGTTCTACATTAAATACTGTACATTTAACAGTCAATTGTTGTGGTTGAAGTTGGCGGGTGTATATAATTGATCATATAAGGCAAATCATGCAATCACAATAAACATTCCTAAATCAATAAAGCTCTTCTATTGGATTTCATTAGATTGCACTGATGTACTTAATAAAGTGTCCAGAAAGTGAGACAAATTCCTACACACCCATTGGATACATGTCAGTAAGGTGCGGATTCACAAACAGGTTGTTTTTGTTTTAATGTGTGGCTTTTGGTCGACTGCCAAAGCAAACGCTCACCAAGATTCGTTCTCAGTCAAGTCGTTTTATGTCTTAAATCTACTAAAGGTTGTTGAAGTCTAAATATAAATGCAAAAAGTATAAATATTTGGCATTCTAATAATGACATTGCTATAATAAGAAATAAAATAATGACATTGTGTTACTATAATAACCAGTCTTTAAAACCATCACAAACCCAGCAGCTTCTTTGCTTCGCTTCATTTCCTCCAGTTGGAGCCGATGTTCCTCATTTGCCTTTTGTAATCTGCCCTCATGTTCGTCTACAATAAACACGACGGATTAACACAACGGACGGTGTGAAATGGTGAAACGACACTTAGTCAAACATTACCTCGGAGTTTCTGCATGGTCATTTTGTGTTCTCGGACGCTGTGCTGGAACTGACGGCAAGCTTTTTCCAAGTGCTTCTGAAGCTCCTGGTTCTTCTTCTGCAGCTTACTGGCCGTGTCTGCGCAATCCTTCCTGCTGCAAACCTGCCCTCCAATCTGGGCTAAAGAGCCTGCGCGGCACAGAATCCAGCATCACGTTGAAATTCTTGACAAAATGGATGCCTGAATGCTGAAAGCGATGATGATTTTCATACTTTGCATTTTGCTGATTTCTTTTTTGTGCTGCTGTTGTGTTTCTCGTAACACACAGCTCAACTGAGCCTCACTTATCTATGGGAAAGAAAAAGAAATAAATCTGTAACGGTAAAGCAGCTGAGGTCATTCTTCCGTTTCAGTATAAGCTGACTGTTAGCTGCCGATGGAACAGTGAATGAATGCATGATAAAAAACATACTTTCTTCCAGTCCTTCTTGGCCTGGCACACAGCTCTGTCAACAATGTCTATGCAGCAACTTTGAATCACGTCCATTAAGCCGCCCTCCGATATGCGGCCCGTCCCGCTCTCCCTCAGGCTCTGCTGGTCAGTCCTGGAACTCCCGAGAAGCTGCGCCTGGACCTCTGCCAGAGCAGTCTGAAGTTCCGTGAGGAAGTCTTCCCTCATCTGTCGTCTCTGGGCTTGTTCCTTCTCAGCCTGCTGACATTTCCACTCATCCTCTCGGGCCCTCATGATCTGCTGAAGCTTGGTCTCCATCTGTTGGAGCAGTTCCTTCTTTTGGAGGTCGGCCTCCTCTCTGGCTTGCAGCAAAGCCAACTCCTGCTTCTTATGCTGCTCCTGTAGTTTGGTTTGGTACATTTGCTCACTGCGAGTTTGGACAACAGAGATCTCTTGCTGTTTGTCTCTCTTCCAGGCCGCTTTGGCTCCGGCTAGTTCAGCTTTGAGCAGCGTTGCTTGCTCCCTTCTTAACTGCTCCAACTGACACTGGAGGCTCACCACCTTCTGTTGGAGCTCCTCAGATGTCCCACAGCTTTGAGCTTTTAGACGTCCTTCTTGCTGCTTGTGCCACTGCTCCTCTGCTGTCCTCAGAGATTGTGATACCTGGCACATTTGCACATTTGTTTTCTATTTATGTTTGCAATTCGCTTTTTTTGGTTGTTTCGTTATTTGTTTTGTGATTTGCATGGCCTCAAAGATGAAAATGTCCTTCACCTGTTGTTCCACGTATTGTTTTTGCAGCTCTTCCCAGTTCTCTCTCTCTCTTTGGAGAGAGGCTTGGTATTCTGGTAATGAAGTCAAATCCTCAATCCAACGGTTATAGGCTCTGGTCACCGCCCCTTCAACCTTAAAAAAACACATTTCTGCTCACTTGCAAAACGTACATGGTCACACATTCATGAATGACTTCAGCAAACCTTAATAAAGACAGACTGTAAAATGACAGTATCAACCTTATCGGCCAAGTCCTCGAGATGTTTGTCCTGAGTTTCCTTCTGGACTTGTTTCTTGGCTTCTTCCACTGCTTGGCGTTGGACTTTGTCAGCTTCCACTTGCAGCTGTTGTCTCTGGGCACAGAGCCTGGAGTCCAACTCCTCAACGGTAATCATCAAACCGTTTGCTGCCGCCTCCTCTGTCTGACAGGTTACCTCAGAGGTCTCGGAGTGTTTTTCTCGCCTGGCTTCCTCCAGCCTCAGGGTCCAAGTCTTCTCCATCTGCACGGAATCAGGACTAAACAAAATGGCCGCGTACTAGTTGCGACTGCAGCGCCAACAGAGATCCACAGTCATACCTGACGGTGCGCTTCATCCCAAGCAACCTTGGCCGAGGCTACCTGAGAGTTCACCTGCTGCTGGATCTCAGCTTCGTGCTCCTTCGACCAGAGAGCCTTGAGCTGGGCTACGGAAGCCCGATGCTGCGCCTCAAGCTCAGTCCTTAGTTTCTCCACATCTGTGCTGCTCTCCTCGCTTTTCTGTTGCTTAGCAAGTGTATGAGAGAAAATTTAAATCTCTACCTGCGGTCTAAAAAGTTATGCATTGTTCGTTTGTTTCGTGAAGCAGATTTCACGTAGACTGTACTGTGAATTAGCGTAAGTACGATGCCTCCAAACAATTAAAAAAAAAAAAAAAACACTGCACATCAATTCAGGTTAGTTTGTTAATACAGTATTGTCTTTATTTTTGTCCTGCTTGTCTTTATTGAAAATGACATTAAAAAAGGACTCTTAAAGCATTTTAAGCAATGTCATGTTTAGTACCGCGCTCAACTGGTATGCGTTCATTTGAAGTTGGCTAGACCATTATTTGCTTATCAAATGGCTAAATAAGCAGAAATAAGTCATAGAAATAAATTGTGTAGGTGTACCAAATAAAGAAGTCATGAGTACAATCAGATATTTTCCCATTACGCCCATCTCAAAGGAGCAGCAGAATTTTGATATTTTGATATTGAAGACATCTGCCTGGGTATACCTCATTTTCTTTCCTCAGTGCATCCTCCCTGGCTGCATTTTTTATGCTTTCCTCCAGGATTTCCTTTTCCTTGCAGACAGAAATGTAACACTCTTGCACAGCAGACACTTTGTCACTGGCCTCAGACAGCTGAGTGCTAGGTTAAGAAAGAATGCCGAGTGAGCTGCGCGTTTCAACACAGTTGCAAACCTTGGAGTGAGCCAATGGGTACATACTTTAGGCGTTGGATGTGTTGCTCGTGTTCTGCTGTCAGATGTTCAACGTGAGCGTCGTGTTTCAGCATGAGCTCCGTCCTGACTCGGTTCACCACGTCATCCCTATGCTGCTGATTTATCCGCTCGGATCTTCATGAAGAGACACGGACACCATCAATGGAGCCATTCAAAGAGTAAACATTTCATTTCTTACCGTTGAGCAGCCTCCTGCTTCTCTTGGTCCAACTCCTGGATCATCTCTCTCATCTTGACGCAGAGTTCCAAGTTGGAAGACCGGAGCTTCTCCTCACTCTGCTGCAGCTCATCAATTTTCTTTTCTAGCACCTAGAATTGTAAAAACAACAGCGGCAATCGAGCTCCTTATTTTGATTGAATCAACACAACCGGGACATTTGAAAAATTATTTGGTGACAAACCTCCACTTGATCCTGCAAGCGTTGTTTGTCTTCCTGGAGTTTCACTAACTCATTCTGGTCCTCTCCATTCAAGTATGGTTTTATCTGGCTGGACTGTCTAACCTATGGACAAGCAAGCTTACTTGACAGTTTGATCATTCATTTCAGTGTCGATCTTTTAATCGCAATGCATACCAACGAGCTGAGATTGGCTTCATCTAATTGAGTCTGCAGCTCGTTCACTCGGGTCCGACTCCGTTGCAGTTCCTCCTGCAGATGACTGACCTTCTGCCGTTTTGCCTTTTGACTCCCCAAACAGCGCTGCATCTCCACTCGCAGCAGCCGCAAAGCCTCATCCTGAGGCAATTTGGAGTCTGACAGGGTGGCTAAGGCCATACTGTTCAAGCAGAAGAAGAAAATAATTTGAGAGAGTATTGCATGAGGAAAAACTTAACGAGGATGAGGACACATGCTAACATTAACTGTTTGAACATGTACCTGTGGAGCGATCCATTTCTGAAAGTGGTTTTCTTGAAGCCTAACGCCAAACAGGATTCTGAAAGTTGGGTCTGGCAGTCACTGTTGGGATCCAATGCAATAACGCCAAGTTTTAATGCAGATTCATATAGCGTAATCTGCTCCTTCAAGTCGGCAAGATCTTCCTTCGGGGTTTAAAAAAAAAACACATAAACGATGAGGCAACAAACATATTTAAATGCTTCTTTTTAACCCAAAACGGCATGACAAACCTGTAAGACTCTGTTCATATCTTCACTTAAAACCTTGGCTGTTTGGGCCTGCTGGAGTTTGAGCTGGATTTGACTCATTTCCTGCACAGAATCTGAGGGATAAATAGAAATCAGGGTAAAGCGGGGTACATTATAGGTGTCCACGTGTAGGGCAACTTTGGCTCACTAGTCTGCAACAGCTTGGCACATTGCTGCTGACTCTCCTCCAGACTTTGAGTGAGAGCACTGACCACTCTGGCTCGCTCGAGTTGCTCTTCTTCTCTTTGCCGCTCCAACTGTTTGACCTGCTCACGGAACCTCTGACTAGTATCCATCTGAAAGCATGTCATGATGAGAAAAGCAGGCACATTACTGGATAAACCACATGAAAGCAGTCAGCCAAAAGAAATGTATTAAGACATAAGGAATGTCTCCTCTTTGACTAGATAGCACCAAACCGAGAGACTGAATGGATTACAGCAGTGTTTCTTAACCTTGTCAGAGGTACGGAACCCAAGCAGTTCATATGCACATTCATCGAACTCTTCATTCGTGAAAAAGAAAAATATATATGATTTTTTTTTTTAAATAAATTGAACACCTAAAAAAAAAAGTTTAAAAAATTTTTACGACGTACTATCACGACAGCCACACGGTGACTACTGAGCGAACTCAATTTCCCGCTGCACTGATTGGACAAGAAATGTAATGTGATCATCTGCGGCCAGTGATGGCCAAGCGGGCGTGTCATAACTAATTGACATGTTGAGTCAGGTGTGTCTTAACCTTCATTGCAGAGGCTCTGTCGAACCCCTGAGACTGATTCACCGAACCCCTAGGGTTCGATCGAACCCAGGTTAAGCACCACTGGATTACAGTATCCAAAAACAGATTGATCACGGCAAAGCTCAAGAAGTAAAATATGAGAAAATAAAATATTAACACACACTTACAACCCGCTTAGCTCCCTCTATGCTTTTCTACATGAATCGGCAACTGAAAAAGTCTTCCCAGAAGACCAACTCCAGATGTTCATCCCTTGACTCCAGCTTTATCCTGTATTCTCCTCCATTTTCACCATCTGTAACGCTGATTTTTCGCAATCCAAATATTCCAAGGAGTGTGTGTATATGTTTAATTGTTATCCAATCTTGGTCTAATTGCGGCACACTGTATGTGGGCTGGACACTGCAAACTCATCTAATCGTGAGTTTAAATTTTTATGCAAACTGAACTCAATCCGATTCAAATTTTCCCACTAGTGAACCAGAACAAGATGGATTGCAAGAAGGGTCTGATACCTTTCAGTGTTCACTAAGCGCAGTTTATATGGATGGCTGGAAAAGAGGCCTGAGTTAAACCAAAAGTTAAGCAAATGGATAAAAAGCAAAATCCCAAACCTGTTCGTCCAGAGCTTGAGACATAGCGTCAAGCTGCTGCTGTAAAACCAACAGTGCGGCCTCATGTTGCTCCTTGATGACAGTAACATCCCTGTCGTGCTGCTTGCGTGCTTTGGACAGAGTGTCAGACCGACTCAGCTCCAAAATTTGCTGCTTCATGGCGTCAGCAGCGGCCTCGGCCACCCTCTGCTTGTTTATGTGCTGAAATCATTATTCCAACTTCATATCAAAGCTCTCTGATAATCTGAGCAGTAAACTACACCACTCCATTGAATGAACTATACAAATTAAAACCAAGGTAGAGTTATTGGTTGCAGTTTTTTTTTTTTTTTTTAAAGCAATACCTTTCTTCAATTTAACAACGCAGCAGACAGAAATGCACTATTGACAGCTCATATGGCTTACCTCCTGGTCTCTATCATTTAGGGTACGTATTTGATCCTCCATCACCTTCTCTTTGCTTTGCTTTTTAACCTCCCGCTCTTTGGCCTCGTCCAGGAGTCGACTCGACTCCTTGAAACGCGCAGCAAAGCCGTCTCTCTCGTCTATGGATAAATAAATCAAGATTTAATGGTCGATAAGTGCCCTGATAGAATCTGTAGACAGTATGATGCATATTGGGTATCAAACTGGGAACATGCGATTTAAAACAAATAGATAAATTATTTGGGTGCATGCAACATCAATTTTAAGTTCTTTCTTCTCAGGAGCAAAACATAAAACGTTCAAGTGATGAAGAAAAACCTTAACATTTCTAATAATAACATAATAACAAATTCAACGCCTCCTTTTCAAATTAAAGACTGCAAAGGAAAAAATACCTATAGCAATTGCCAACCGGTGCTCAAGGTATCTTATCTTGCGTTTTGAATCCACGAGCTTTTGCTCCAAGTCCTCGATTTGCCTGTGATGAGCCTTGTTTAATATCTGCAGTTGGACAAGCTGTTCTTTCTCCGCAGTTTCTACAAGATGGCAGAAAGGAACGTCAGTCACTGAATCTTAAAACGATGTGGAAAGCTTGTAAACTACACAAGCTAAAAGGGTTGAACTACCTCCCTTTGCATCCTTGATTAAAAGTATAACGCATAAAGTATACACGTAGGATGCCTGGCATTTCCGAAGAGTGACACTCAAAACAGCTGCAGAGAGTGAAGTGTATTGCCAACCTCCAGACATGGTTAGTCAACATTCATGAAACGTACGCTGTGTTGAGTCAAGGAATTCTCTTTGTAGTTGATCAAATGGTTGATCTTGACGCGTGGCCTGGGAGCTCAACATCTGACGTGGAGGAAGGTGAGGATTGTAGCTGGCCGGGTAATCATCCCCACGTCGCTCCGCAGCTCCAGACTTTATAGATTCAAAAATAGCAAACAAAGGAAACCTTATGTTTAATTTTAAAATACATCTATGTCAATATTAATATTCAAGTATGTTCACTTGTCTGGTGAGCAACACGTCCCGCACGATAGAAGACAGAATCAGCCATACCTTAAAATGCACTCTGGGATTATTGCAGTCACCGTCGTCGCAATCATCACTAGCTCCTCCTTCATTATAGTCTACAAGGTTGCTAGCACCGGGGTGTTGCTCATATGGATCATTTGTGGAAAAATCGTTGGCCTCTGTAGATTGTTCTGTTCCTTTGCTGTTGAACGTGTAGTCTTCCTGGGTGAAGTGCGAATCTTGTGAATGCTGGTTCCACATGCGAGCCGAAGGTTGAGTTTGAGCATGATGCTGGTGACCATTGATCTGAACGCCTCCATTCATATACGTAAAACCGTGGGGTGGTTGATCGTAGTCTGCCTCATAGCTCTTTAATAAAGAGACATCAAGAATATGGTAGTTATATTTCAATTGAAATGAAGAGACAAAACAATGTCAGATAGTTTAAAAACAAAAAAACAAAACATACCTGCTCATCAGATGTTGCTCTGGGATGATTTGACCGCTGATGAGTCCATTTGGAAGTTGGGCTGTATAGAGACTTGCCCTGGGATGATTTGATCGTTGATGAGTCCATTTGGAAGTTGGGCTGTATAGAGACACCAAAGAAACATAACTATGCCAATCTACATATTAAATACTACAGATGGGCATTTCACTCAATTTCATTTTTTTACATTTTGTCCATCCAGCGATCTATGCCAGCAAAGTATTGAGACAGGAACAACAATTAATTGCTCTTCAATTAGACGGCAGAAGGTACAATAAAGCTGTTGCCATTCATACAACACCAAAAATTATGTGTTCCTGTCACTATTTCCTCTTTTGTTTTCAATTTAAGATTTCACACTGTGAGACAATTTGTGAGTAAAGTGAGACAAGATCATCATTTTTTTCAGTATTTCTGTTTGGTGGTATGCTGTTTAATTTTTCATGTATAAAAAAAGTGTACCTTGTCTTAAAGTTTGAAAACAATGCCATAGACCACAAACCTGCTTGAGGCTTGATCAATACCACCTCTGATGGTTGCAGATGAGTAATACACTCCATTTTGCCTCAATTGCTTCAAGAATAATCAACAATCAACTCCACCATGGACAGTTTGATTACAATGCTCATCCCAAGTAGGAACAACACCAAGATTTGGCAGAGAGCATCTAATTCCTGCATGTTACCTGGTTTCAGGATTTTTCTTGCTGCAGGTGGAGGATTCGAGGTCTATGGAGGAGGAGTCTCGGCTATCCTCCAGCATGTCATCTGGAAGGTCTGCGAGGAGCTTGTGGAGCTACAAAAAAAAAAAGTCAAGGCAATGAGTCCCCCACAAACAAGGGTGATAAAGTAATACAGAGGGGAAAAATGCAATGTCAAATTTACTGCGGAAAGTCTTCATTTAACAAATTTAAAAACCTGCAAATGACAAATTCGAGAAGTATCACTTCGTAGAAGCTGTCCACCATTTACACAATACAGTAATTTAAATCATCCATTTTGAAATGACTCTCTTTTTAATAAATGGGCTTCAAATATTTATAGAAAAGTATATGCGTATTCACATCAGAATATAACAACATTTGCAGAAGTATGCTTTTGGTCACAAAAAAAGCTATGTAATTGTATTGTCTCTATATCAATCAGATCTTTGCTCTCTGCAATACAGTAACAAGTATACAAGTATATTCTTCCTATGTCACAAACAGCCTTAACATTAACATGCTTACTTGATTGAAGTGATTGGACAAATAAAAACAGCTGAACTTACTTCCCATAAAGACCGTTGAATGGTCTTTAAATCCTCCACTGTGTCCTCAACCAAAGGACCCATATTATTTTCACATTTACACATTTAGCAAAAGAACGTGTCCACTTCAAGAGTGAATCCAATTCATAACGTCCTAACCAATTTCACCAGAGGAAAGAGATTTTTAAAAACATCCAAAGAGTCCATGGCATGTCGTCGACTCCCAGCACAACTGTTTTTATTCAAACGAACTCAGTTGTTTGAACAAAACATATAGCACAGCTAAATGGAGCAGAAACATTCCACTTAGTAGCAGGAAACATTTTCCACTTGATCGGATAGTCTATAAAACGTAGACTCCATTGGTAATAGCGAATAGTAGATGATTAATAGATTCCCAAAGTCCAGTAAATCTTGTTGTTGCAGCCCACAGGAATATAATTATTCGTGCTTACTCTTAAGTACAAGAGGCATTGTGACCGAACAAGTAATAGTAAGAAAGTAGGTTAACGTCGACTACATTCAGTGACACACCAGGAAGAAGCCAATCGGGCCAATAGCAAAACAAAGCAACATATTGTGGGGATGAGTCATAACAACAACCCTGCATTCCAGTCAAACTGTGAAAGTGTTTTGCTATTGCTCAAATAGTTCCCAAACAAGGACACGCATTTGAAGCCAACACCGAATCGTAATATTGTGGAATGGAATGATTATGTTTGTGCTATGAAAAAAAGAAGAAAATTCCTCTCATCAGCTCATGCTGGTCGTTCTTTAAAAGACTCGATTGAAAGTGAATGTTCCATTTAATCGCACAAATAATGGAACCATTGTGTTGTACCTCTTGTTCTCTTGCATAGTCGTCTTTGTCGTATTCTTCTTCATCGTCCTGGGTTTGGAGGGCAGCGCTGTCAAAATCTATAGACATGACGGTGTCTGCTGCACAGGAGAGTTGAGTCTAAAATGACTACCTCGGTATTTATTGTACTTTTATCAAATATACGAGCATAGAAATCGCCGAACACTCAAAGTAAATTGTTGGGCAAAAGTTGGAATAATTTAGCATGTGCCAGTGAATACAAAAAGACAAATTGCTTACCTTTAGGCACACGCCGTAGACAGATTTTCACGCGGTTATTCCTATCTAAAAATTGACGTTAATGTTGTGAAATGCTCGCCACATTGTTGTTTACAGTGCAGCGAGGCTAGCTAACCAGCCTCAATTGAGCCACTTCAGCTTCCTTTAGTATTACAGAACAAGACTTAAAATACGAACGGGTCGTGTTTTAAAAAAAAATCCACGCATATCTTACTTGATGGAGCGTGATTATTAACCGAGCCGCTGTTAGTTTAACGCCACCTTTGTTGTCATTTGTCCCAACACTTCGTCGTAAGCTATAAAAGCTAGCAGTGGCTAACCGGTTGCTCGCTCGTCCTCGCCCACTTTGAAAAGTCGCGCGCACCGCTCCCGCCAATGAAACCAATTTTGGAACATGTTTGATGTGCGTCAACACGCGCATATTGAACCAACTTACAGTCACAGCGCATTTTTACATTGCTTGGAAATCAAATTCCCTTAAAAATTACATTAATAAGAATCAAATGTAAATTCCCCCCCCCCAAATAGACGAAACTGGGGAGCTGACCATGTCTCCATGGTAACACGTATCTTGCATTATGGGTAGTGTAGTCCTATTGTCGATCATGCTTGCTCAGTACCATTGGGCAGTCCCGCTGCGTCACCATTAGCGTTTCCGTATTTGTATCGCTCAGTCTTACTGTTTCAGGGTCAGTTTTGATGTCAGTTCAAATGCGTCGGCCTTAAACTCACGGCTAACTACTGACTCTGATTCAGCTGAATCAGCATCCTGTCAGCTGATCGCTACCAGGATGCCAGGCAGGAATCCGAGCTGTTACGCGTGACAGAAGGGTACATTCCTGGTGATTTCATCTAAAAATGGCCACTAATCCTCCAAAGTTGAACGTTTCGGATATTGATGACGAAAGGTGAGTTTCTACAGGTACACCGAGGAGTTAAGATATGAAGGAAGTGACTTAGTTGTTGGCTTCTGAGCGTAATCTTTCTTTCTGTAGGCTGCAAAACTTGAAGAACACTTTTGAAAGACAGTATGGAAGATCAGCTCTCTTCTATGCATGTGCACCTGGAAGAGTCAATCTCATAGGTAACTAACTGAATGTGTATTTGGTAGCGGATACAGACTGTGTAACTTCAACGGCGAATGGACTCTATTGGATAATGTACTGTATATAATAAAAACAACAGTTGGGATTGTTACTAGTCGTATTTCTTACATGTGTATTTGTGTATTATTGGGTAAAAATATTAATTATGTTCTTTTCTACTAATTTTTTACTTTTCCACTCATTTTCTCGGTTTTGCTCATTTTCTTCCACGCAACAGGAGAGCACATTGATTATTGCGGCTTCTCTGTGCTTCCGATGGCTATCGAACAGAATATCTTCGCCGCTGTCTCACTAAGTAATTCAGGGTCAATCCAACTGGCCAATATAAATCCTCTCTACAAGTAAGACTTTAATTTTTTTCCATATGTAATATGTACATGACTGTATAAGCATCTTGTATGTAAATACAGTATGTGTACAGTATATATTTATATACAGTATACACGGTGTGTGTGTGTGTGTGTGTGTGTGTGTGTGTGTGTGTGTGTGTGTGTGTGTTGTGTTTATTCTGCAGGAATATCACTGTGTCCTGTTCAGAGGAAATAGTGATTGACAGAGATAACCCCAAGTGGTATTATTATTTCTTATGTGGCGTTAAAGGCATTCAGGTAGGACATGAATCTTTATGGTAAGAGTGTCCTGTTTGCAAAAGGCAAGGTCCATATTACAGATGTATATTATTAAACCTTTTCTGTTCACAACAGGAGAAGTTTGGGATCGCGCATTTACCGGGAATGGTGTGTGTCATCGATGGAAACGTTCCACCAAGTTCGGGCCTGTCCAGTTCCAGTGCCCTGGTTTGTTGTGCTGGACTCGTAACAATGGAGGCAAATCAGAAGTCCCTCTCCAAGGTAATCCTAAATCTAATAATTCCAAAATTACGATGATAACCATCAGAACTGCTTAATTAACATATTCCTGATCTCACTCTGCATTTCAGGTAGCTCTCGCCGAGATATGTGCCAAATGTGAGCGCTACATCGGCACCGAGGGAGGAGGCATGGACCAATCCATCTCCTTCCTGGCAGAGAAAGGAACCGTATGTAACATGTTTTTTTGAAGTAACATTTTAACATTCTTAGTCATGCAAGAATAAAAATGGGTTAAATATTCACTATTATGCATAAAACACAGCAGGCCCACTATACAGTATACTGAATTTATTGTGTGTGATGTGCCCTCCAACAGGCCAAATTGATTGATTTTGAGCCTTTGAGGGCCACTGATGTCCGACTCCCTGACGGAGTTGTGTTTGTGATTTCCAACTGCTGTGTGGAAATGAATAAAGCGGCATCTTCACATTTCAACATCCGTGTGGTGGAGTGTCGGATCGCGACAAAGGTATCAAGTCAAAGGACAGTCCAATATGTAATTTATTTGTTAAGAATCTGAAAAACTTCCAAGATAAATGCGATTTTTCACATGTACAAATCAAACAAAACGGATGAATGAATGTTAAATTGCCTATGATGTTGTGAACACAGATGCTGGCCCAAGCCAAAGGGTTGAACCAGAAAGGGTTTCTGAAGTTGGCCCAGGTGCAGAAGGAGATGAATGCATCTCTGGAGGACATGTTGGCTCTGGTGGAGGAAGTGCTACATCCTGAACCGTACAGCCGAGAGGAGATCTGCAAGGTTCTGGGCATCACCTCCCAGCAGCTCTCCACAGAGTTGCTCAGCGCAAATACTCAACACGGTGAGCAAATAAACAGCAGGAACACTGCAACAAAGACAAGGAGAAGTGAGGATGTGATTTTTATTTCTTATTTGGGGGGTGTGGGGTGGGGGTGTCACTCCCAGTAACTCATTTCAAGCTGTACCAGCGAGCCAAGCATGTATACAGCGAAGCTGCACGTGTGCTACGCTTCAAAAACGTGTGTGATTGTGCACCTACCAAGTCCATCCAGTTACTGGGTGACCTGATGAACCAGAGCCACATGAGCTGCAGAGATCTTTATGAGTGCAGCTGCCCTGAACTGGACCAACTGGTGGACATTTGCCTGTGAGTACAAAGTCTCACTTCATCCCCAAAATTCTGGCTCAACTTTAAGATACAACTGAGCTCTGAGTGAGAATTTTTCTACAGGAAATATACATACTGTATACCGATGACTCTGTTCATCAAAAAATGGAGGATTTTTTTTTTTTTTTTTTTAAGACAGATTGTTGCATGCATTTTTTTTGTATAGGATCTTCTTTGATATTGCTGATGTGCAACGAATGAAGCATCAGTCAATCAGCAATGTATCGCCCCTGTCATTATAAAAGCGGCATGGATTCAACATCTTTCTTTGTTTCCCATACTGACAGGAAATCGGGGGCTGCTGGCTCCCGTCTGACAGGAGCAGGTTGGGGCGGCTGCGCTGTGTCTATGGTTCCGAGTGACAAAGTTGAGTCATTCTTACAAGCAGTGAGAGAAGCCTACTATCTTCCTGATCCACGAAGAGCAGCAATGGAAAAACAAAGTTTGTTTGTATCAAAGCCTGGAGGAGGCGCTGCAATTTATGTAGCGGAATGACATGTATTGTTTCTGTCATAAACCTAATCTAAAATATACAGTTTTCGCTGGGACCAAAAAAAAGCATGAAAACGCTAAGGTTGCAAAATTTAAGAGAAAAATCTGAATTTAGGGAAATAAAGGGCAACTTTTTGTGCTCGTATATTTTTGCAATGGATAATGTGTATGTCGCTTCCTTTGTCATACTCATTACAATTTTTTTTTCTACAGTTCACTCTCTTCTCGTTTGTTTTGAAGATGAAATGATGGCTCGAACTTCAAGATGTATTTGTGTTGTTGTTGTTATGTGACCTCTGGCCTCCAAAATATTAGGCTGCAGAACCAAGAACCAGGTGGATCAATCTCCCAACATATAGCAGTCCCAAAGCGATAGCTTGTTAAGAATCAAGCTACGTTTTGCAAACTGGAGACAAGAGCAACAACAAGAACATCCAGTCATAAGGAATAAACACTTTTAATTCTATCCCGTGTGATCTATGCTACATTCTTAATTAAAGTACACTGTAGTGTATTCTTTGGTGGGCAAAAATTTGTTCTCGCAGGCAAAGTCCTTTGCACTATAGATAAGTTACCTCCCACCCAAGTTAATAAAAAATATGTAAAGTTGTCTATTTTAAAAAGAAAATGCCAAATTAAATCTTTGAATTTTATTATAAAGTTATTTAATTAGAGTTGGGTTTACACGAATGTCTCTTTAAATTTGAATACAGCCATATCCCCAGTTATAAAAGTATGTGCATTCTTATGTAAACACATTATTTCAGATGTTTACCTAACATTCTGAAAATATTTCTCTCTTTTCAATCGAGTTGTACATGTTATTTAAAGGTGTGTTTTTCATGGTCTATCTTGCGCTCAATTTTCAACATCACGTCAAAAAATTTGCATTTGAAAAGGGGAGTGTAGGCTTTTTCTATCCAGTGTAAAACAACATTGTACAACAGAGAAAACGTTAAATAAAACATTGAGAATTCCTCAGAGGAACTTTCGTGAGGCAGAGGCGCAAGAAACTCACATTCCCAGAATGCTTAGCGTCTACAGGCTTTAAACCGGATATCCGCCTTTTTATCCCATTTTCTCACAAACGTGGTGTGGTTTGCACCTTACGGACGAACTAGTTGCATTTTGTTGTTGCGTTTTTCTGTGTCTTTTCCTGACTGTCGACATGTTCCTGCATTATTACCAAGACGAGAATGGAGACAGAGTCTACACTTTGGAGGTAGTGCTATGTTGTTTTTCCGTCATATTATTAGCGTGGTAGCATTTTCCAGTCAAACCCGCTTTGAGCCTGCCTACGATAGCACTACAGTAGTTGTGGTACATCAAACAGAGCTTTGTCAAATATTTTGGCTACCTCAGTCACATTGAAGTCAACCGTTCGGAACTTCTCAATATGATGCGTCACAGCACGACAGTTCTGTGAACTACACCCACAATGATGACCATTGAGCAAAAGTCTTACAGGGGTCATAATTGGATGATCTGTGTAATCATATTAAAGCAGAAAAACAAAATACTGTGATAAGCAAAGATGTGTTTTAACCTCTTCAAGTTTAAATCCGAATATTTGCTCCATTAAATTGTTTTAAATTACCCTCAACATTTTCTTTTTATTTGGTAGAATTTTTCCTGGCTGGAAAGTGGTCGTTAGATTTGTGGTCTAATTAAATCCAATAAGAATATGGAAATGTGTGTGTGTGTGTGTGTGTGTGTATTAAACTAGTAAATTTTCCCCATCCCCTATTGATAGAAAGTGGCACCTAACGGGCGGCCCACCAGCTCGGCCCACCCAGCCCGCTTCTCTCCAGATGACAAGTACTCACGACACCGGGTGACCCTGAAGAAACGATTTGGACTTCTGCTCACCCAACAGCCTCGACCTGTTCTCTGAATGAAATCCCACCAAAATTTGGAGGGATGCCTGGAATGCATGAAAGAGAAGGAAACATATGAGATCGCAACATGCCAGGACTTGTCCAGAATTCCTCTCCTAAAAGTGTGTTGTGTGATGTTCACATTGCAATGCTTTTTTGCAATGATTGTTTTTTTTTTTTTTTTTTAAATACATTTGGTTTTGGGTTAAACCTATCCAGTAAACATGTAGAGATAAGAGCACCTGTAATAAACATGATACAACAAAAATCTACCGGGTGGTTATTAACAGGCTTAGTTATTTGCCTCAGCTGTGTAAACAGCCTCTGTTCAAACAATGTTAAACAATGTTCTAGATGGATAAAAACAGTACTTTAAATATTTTTTTCCATCCCTTGGGGGGAAATTGTCACAGACAACAGCAATATTTAAACAAACACTCCTGTTAGAATAGTACAGACAAAAAGAGCAGTATTGAGGACAGATTAAAAGATGTTGAATTCAAATCTGAAGAAAAAAAAAAGAAAAATCTCTTGCCTGTTTTTAAACAATTTTTACTATTCGACATTCTGGTATCACATGGAAGACGAGTAATTTTTGTCTGATTTATATTTTTGCACTGGAACATAAGGACCCAGTCGCAAGTCAGGTTGTCAGCATTTCCCACCGTTGATGTGCTGGCATCGCATCTCATTGGTCAACAGCTTCAAGGGGCGTGACCCTGCTGCGCGTCAATCAGTGGAGTGTGTTGAAAGTTCATTTCGAAACTCGCTCTTCTTTAGCTCGACCAGATAAGCTCTATATACACATTTTCCACCAACTGAGCGTAGCAGAAGGCACCTGTCGTAAGTGTCAATGTAAGTATGATACAAGCTTTTTTTTAGTTGACCTCCAATGTGTGAAAACGTACACTGCGTGTTTGCCGTTATAAGTGCTACTGCGCTTTTACCCGATGTTGACGTAAACAACAGGAGGCGGCAAACACTATGTTAAAATGTGATCGTTATTTTTTTAAATGTTATGTCTTGAATGATGCTGCCATCCGCGCCTGTCACATTCGTTGACGCGTGGCTAATTTCTAGCAAGAACAATGAGGAGTTGCATTTTGTGGACCAAAATGCAGTTGCGTGTAAGGCTCATCCTTAGTGACATTGCCCTTGTCTTCCTTGGCATAGGATGGCCGAGGAGTTGCATTTTGTGGACCAAAATGCAGTTGTATAAGGCTCAATCTTTGTGACATTGCCCTTGTCTTCCTTGGCATAGGATGGCTGCTTTGTGTCGTTCTGTGGGTTTTTGCGCCGCTCATCTACACACAACCAGTCGTTCCTCTGCCAAACAGCATTACAAAATGTTGGTGCTAGGTGGAGGAAGTGGAGGAATTGCAATGAGTGCACGCATGAAGAGGATGTTGGGAGCTGAAAACGTGGCTGTAGTGGAGCCCAGTGAGGCAAGCATACCTCATGACGCAAAAGATTCATTCTTGTGACTTGTGCACCGTGATCCAAATGCTATTTGACTCTTCAGATGCACTACTATCAGCCTCTGTGGACTCTGGTTGGTGCGGGTGCTAAAACTGTTGCTTCATCAGGAAGGCCCACATCAAGCATTATACCATCTGGTGTCAGACTGGTGAAATCTAAAGTTGAGGAAATAAACCCGGATACAAACACCGTCCGCACTGATGACGGAACTGAGGTATGTTTGCCTTATTCGACTTGACCGTATGTGTTTAAGGCTATAAAGACGTTACCGTACAACTGTTATATTTAATGATGTGACCTTCGCTCCCAATTTCAGATGTCGTATGATTATCTGATTGTGGCTCTTGGTTTGCAGCTTCACTTTGAGAAGGTGAGGATGTGCGTTATTTCTTTAGCTTTTAGCAGCATCTCACCCACCTTGTTTTCATCCTCTAGATTAAAGGGCTTCCTGAGGGATTTGAGCATCCAAAAATCGGATCCAACTATTCTGTTGAAACTGTGGACAAAACTTGGGCAGCTTTACAGGCCTTCAAAGAAGGCAACGCTGTGTTCTCCTTCCCAAACACGCCAGTTAAATGTGCTGGAGCGCCACAGAAGATAATGTACCTCTCAGATGCTTTCCTCAGAAAAGTATGGGAATTTTGCACATTACTAAAATGCTATCACTGTTTCCCAAGATTAATATTTCATGTGTTTTTTTGTGAAGACAGGAAAGAGGGCAAAGGCCAATATCATTTACAACACATCGCTTCCTGTAATTTTTGGGGTGAAGAAATATGCTGACTCACTTTGGGACATCGTGAAGCAACGTGATATCAAAGTCAACCTGAGGCAGAACCTGATTGAAGTGCGTGCGGATAAACAAGAAGCTGTTTTTGAGAATCTTGACAAACCGGGCGAGATTACAGTCTTTCAGGTAACTCTTTTCAATGCAGCAGTGCCACAATTCACTTTATTTTACACATTTGTAAGCAGAGTGGATTAATTTTTAAACTTAAATGCCATTGAGGCAGCATGGCATTTATAACGTCTCCCTCACAGTTCTGAGATTCAGTTTTCGTGCAATTTGTGACAAGGCCCAACCCTAACATTCAAATGTAGTTAACCATTGTGAAAACAATAAAACACTCAGTCTTAACTTCAAAGGAGTTTGGCAACAAACGTTGCCTTCTCTTTGTGACGACAGGTAGGTTTTGGCAACTTCTGGTGTAAATTCTTCTCTTAACCAGCGCGCTTGAGGACACTTTGTCTTTGCTAGTCCACCCTTTTGGTTTGACAGTTGGAATTTACAGTTCTTAAGTGGAATGCTACTTCATAAAAACAACAAGAAGGGACGTTTCAACCAAAACCCCAGTACCTTATTAACAATTTTTTTTTCTATTTTAGTACGATATGCTTCATGTCACCCCACCCATGGGACCCAACTCTGTGATAAAAGGCAGCCTGCTGGCTGATGAGGCTGGCTGGTTGGATGTCGACAAGGAAAACCTTCAACACAAGAGGTACCCAAACGTGTTCGGGATTGGAGACTGTACAAACTTGCCGACTTCAAAGACGGCTGCTGCTGTCGGTAAGTCAAGATTTGGTGTGATATGTGCCAGCACCGTGCTGCTGGCTCACAGTCATGTTTGTTGATTTTTGGAAAAGTGATTACAGTGTAATTTGTTCACATAGTGTTAAAACAGAGTTCACACTGAACAACTGAGCTTGACAACACAAAAATTACTCGAGACAGGTTTTATCATAGCTTCCTGCTTACATGCATTTAAGAAATGGCTTGACTGTGATATTTCCATCGACGCGCCACGAATGGAAGTCAACATCTGTTTTCTCATTTCAGCCGCACAGTCTGCAGTTCTGAACAGAACCATCAAAAAGATATTGAAAAACGAAAAACCAGATAAAAAGGTAATGAATTACACCGTGTGATTACATCATTTTAGGATGTGGATGGGCTCTACGCAACCAGAGTTAGCGTTACAATAAATGTTGTTTTCAACATATATGGTATATATTCACCTTGCTCTCTCGGTATAGTACGATGGCTACACATCATGTCCACTGGTGACAAGCTACAACACGGTCGTTCTGGCCGAGTTTGACTACAACGGTCAACCACTGGAAACATTCCCCATCAACCAAGCCAAGGAAAGGAGGCTCATGTACCACATGAAAGCTGATGTGATGCCGCATCTCTACTGGCATGGGCTCCTCAGGTATGTTCTTACATCACCAGATAACACGAGCTGCTTCCAATTATATATCTGTAATGTTGTGTCCGATTCAGGGGCCTATGGGGCGGACCAGAACCATTCAGGAAACTCCTGCATCTTGGAATGAAATGATTGCGGACGATGAATCATCAGTGGGCATATTTGAAAAGCCGCTTTTCCTGAACAGGATATATGTAAGCTTGACCTTTTATATGAGCAAAGAATAAAATGGCGTTTCTTGTTTGTATTCAGCTTCTCTTAAAGAGAGCGTGGTATGCTAAATGAATAAAAGAATTCCCTCACCAAAGGAGTTCACTTGCTAAGCATCCGCTGCTTTGTTTAAAGCCAAAACAAATATATTGGCGAGAGGACTCGCGTACCACAGCATTAGGTACACTTGTATAATCTAATCGGCCGCTTCCTGCTTCCTTTACAGTAAGATAATAAATGTGATTGACACAAGCATCGATTCAGTAATTAAGGAATACTGTACAATAGTAAACAATAACGTTGAATTTTGTTAAATTATTACTCATCTGACATGGTTGTAGCAAGAATCAAATGACATACAATGCATTTCAAGTTTCTTTAATTTTATTGCTATTAATGTGACAATTAGTTCTGTTCACTGGATCCCCCCCACCCCTCTCCCCCAATGATCCTTTTGCCACCTATGTAAACTTCATTATAATTCTTTCTCATTGTCATCAGTTGAAATGGCTTTTGTTGCACTATACAACCAGCTCTCAGTAAGGCTTTTGGTCTGAAATTGGCTGTGGGACAATAAATTTTTTTCACAGTTTAACTCGCAATGTGAGGATTTTTCCAAGTTGTGTAATTGTACGCTGACGCCAAAAATTGGTCATTTTTGCTTAATCACAGTCGGTCTTCCTTGTATGTCGCAATGTGTATTCAGTCATTTCTACAGTATGTTAACGAAAGCTAAAAGTCTGCCATTGTTTTTAGTCTGCTCTGAAATAATGCAGTTTCAGAAACCGATTTAAAGGTGACATTTTTGTTGGAGTCTAAACAAATGAGAAATATTTTCAAATTGCCTTCTGGAAAAAATAACGGTGATCACCTGTCATTCACAGTACTAACACCTAAAAGAGGCAGACGAGCATTCACTTCTTTCATGCCCGTGGGCTGTGTAGGTGGCTGCAAAAGATACTTGTACCTTTAAGTTAAGAGTAGAGGAACATCTGGTGTATAAAATGAAATGCTATTCTGGAAGGACTTTGGTCTTTGAAACCGGAGGATTACAGTTGAAGTCTCACTGTGGACAAATGCAGAATGGCAACTTGTTGAAGCGATACAAGTCTTCCTGTCCTCTTTGGATGTGTCGTTGAGCAAGGTGACTCAGCTCAGCTATCACAGTAATCTTCGTGCACACTTTTCACTCTGACATCTCTTTATGCACGCCGACACATGTGTGATTTGGATCTTTGTTAGTTTTGCAACACATGTAGAGAGCAGTCTGGGAATTGTATTTCCCCTTGAGGGATTATAGTAGCTAAAATAACACATTAAAATGGTTTCTGATTTTATATATCATGTTGATTATTGTTTTTAAAACCCTAGTGCGAAAGCAAAAAGTCAAGTATCTCCATATTCAGGACCAAAACAAGAGCAATGTGTGCCAAGGTGACCTTCATAAGTTGATTGTGACATGGAGCAGAAAGTGGAGTTGACAATCACAAATCACACAAAAAATGGAAAACAAGGACGTTCAAGATGACGAGTGTTGTTCTTAATATTTTCATGTTCTCCTTTGCCACCAATTTTAACTAGGAAGTACCGTACATAGTACAATGCAGGCAGACAACATGGGCTGTCAATTGTAAATGTGCTAAAAGTGCTGCTAAAAAATTGACAACGGGCTGGATTTTGCCCCACGGCCAATAGTTTGGACACCACTGACAAATTAGAGTATTACTTGGTTCAAACCACTGTTCCACAAGCGATATAAGAGGTGTCATATTGGGATAATTTTGTAAAAAAAATAGACAATGTGGATGTGCTTTTTTTTTCTCTTTAATATATTGCGTAGTAATCCAATCGGGACTCGGCAACAGCAGATCCAAATATGATCCGGTCATACCAATTTACACTAAACAATTAAAGAAAATTGAAACAAGAACAGTGAAAATGTGTGTTGGGCTTAAATAAGATTGCTGTTTTCCTGTGAGTGGACCCCCCCCCCCCCCGCGCCCCCAGTAGTCGCGGTAGAGGGACGGGAATAGCGAAAATCTGCGTCAATTGAAATGCATTGGAGGTGAAAAGTAGCGCCCCCCCCCCAAAAAATATTCTGAAAATTTAATACGCTTTCAGTATGTCTTTTCCACGAAAATTTGGGTTTGCTCTGCTCCCCTCAACAAAAGAAATATGAAAAAAATATTGGGGGGAGGAATCAGTGGATAGGTGAAGCTGGGTGTGCCACTGTGCCTCGTTTCGTTCAGATTAGTCTTTTATTTTGGTGGTACGTATTTCTTCCTTTCGATTTTTCCTCGTGTTTTTGTAACTGCTGTCTAAAGCTGACACTGGTGGAAGCCGTGTTCCTGAGTGTGCTCGAGGACATCTTCCCTGTGGACTCACGCCACGTTGGTTCGTTCGCGCGCGCGACTGTCGCATTCTCGCGCGTACTCGCGCATGTTTGTGATGAGGAGGAGGCGGGAAATGGCGTCTGCAGACATGGCCGATCTGTGACTACAAACTACCGACAGCGACAGACGCCACTGGGCAAGAGCAAGCACTCCGACCTCAGGCGGGGGCTGTCAGGCAGATTCCCGGCCGCAGAGCTGAAAACGCCGCGGGACATTTTTGGAAGGGCTTCGTCCATTTTCTGTGAGTACAAGGACGGCGTCAACATGTGTAAGCGGAGTAGTGTTTGTCCCCGCCAGCTTAGCTTGCGTGCTAGCAAGATGCTAGCCAGCAAAGGGGGCGTAGTCTAATGGCTGAAAATAGTCGTGGAAGGAAACAAAACAACGCCAGAGCGTTGCGTTGAGAAATCTCGCTGATTTGACTGCCAATTCAAGGAGCTTGTAAAAAGCATGGTTGAAAGTGCTCCGTTATTCAAAATGTCATAGTTTGTCTCGCGGTTTGTTAGCCTTGAAGCTAACCGTGGCTAAACGTTAGCGACGGAACTGACCGAAGGGACCTGGCAACGTTGACATATTGACGGACGAACATTGAAAACAAGTCGGGTATTGTCGCGGTCCCGTCCACGCTCCACTGGCGTTAATTGTACGCGTCAAGTTAAGACAGCGGCGGGGCTAACGTAAACCATCGCTGACGTCTCTGGTGTCCAAATGTTTTATGGTGTAGGTATTTGGCGGTGCTGTTAAAAGCACATTTAAGAAGACGTTAGGCCAGGTGGTCGCAACTTAAAGTGACCACACTTAACACTAGGCACAATTCGCATATCGATTAACAGAATTGATCCTCCAAGTTTAGTGGTGGAGACACGAGGGAGGAACATGAGGCAGTGTTGACATCGGCTGCGTCGCAATGGGATCAGACGAGTTGTCCTAAGTGATGCGAAGAGAACACTAAAGTCATTCTGTCCCAAGCGTTTTTTTTCATAATTAAACTTATACTTCATTAAATATGAGAAATAAGACGAACATGTGTTTCCATAAAAACACCTGGGTTATAATACGGATTTTCATAATATTTTTAAATTCAGTTTTTACTTAAATAAAACAGTTGTTAGAGCCTTTTTGTAATCTTTTTTTTGGGGGGGCGGGGGTGCTCCATGTCCATAGGTATGCAAAGTGTTTCAAAAAAAAAAGATTCACTTGAAATAACCGAGTAGTGTCATACACATGCAAAATTAAATGGGTTTTTGTTTTGTGCACCTCAAAAACCTTCGCAATTTTAAACACAATAGCAAACTTTGTTTAATTAATATACAGTATACATGAAAATGTTAGTCAAAACAGCACACTCTTCTAAGGCAATGTTTTCCCCCCCAAACTGTAAGTAAAACTTTCAACACCTCTTGTCAGATCCTTCTATGTGATGCTGGAGCATGATGCGGCTGAGAGCGCGTAAAGCTCCTCAGCAGCCCACCTTAGGCCGTCGAGCCCCAACGTCCCAGGTGAAAAGGAAACGCTGTGCAGTGGAGGCGCACCCACTGAGAGCCCGAGGCAGAATGCCGAAGAATGAAACGGGCCTCTTGTCTACCATCAAGAAGTTTATCCGGGGTGACCCTGTCAAGGTAAGCTTCACGATACACACAACTGATTTGTAATGATGCTTTCAGATATTATACTGATTAGTAATGTCTTCTGAACCCTGTAGAGAATGAGTAATAACTAGTCATGCTTATTTAATGTTTTATTTCTTCATAATCGTGTTCTATACATTCTTTCATTTTAGTCACGTACAAATAAATAAAAGGTAAACGTAAATTAGTTTTTGGGCTGGAACGAATTGATGACATTTCCATTCATTCCAATGGGAAATGTTATCTCGGTTTACAAGTCTTTCTGGTGACACACAGGGTCACGGAACAAATTCAAATCATAACCCAAGGTTCCACATTTTTTTCAATATGCCACAGCTCTAAAGTGTTGCAGAAGCTTGAACATTGAACTTGAATGAATCGAAAAAGGGTTTGTCTCATTGTGCTCCTGTTTTTAATCCTTGGTAGGTGGAGCCAGATATTCCTGCCAAGAGGAGTCGCATTGATTGCAGCGATAAAAGCGATCTCATCACTTCAGTACCACAAACACGAGGCCTTGCCAACAAAACCGTCTCTCGAGTTTGCCGAAAAAGTCCAAGTAAAGGTACATCATCATCACATTTAACCTCTCCATTAATTCTGCCATCAAGCAATACTTGGTAACTCTGTTCCCCCCTGTTGAATATTTTTTTTTCTTGATTTAGATCCAATAACATGCAGCAGCAAACCGCTAAAACCAAATGGCAAACTAGAAGCTTCAGTTGAGGCGGCGAGCAGTCCTCCACACACCACCCTCCTCGGAACTATCCTCTCTCCCGTTTTCAACTTTTTCTCACCCGCGACCAAAATTGGTAAAACCACACACAAGTCCTTGAATTACGTGCTTGCATAATTTTTCACTTGAGTGGGCACTGTTTGTAAGGAAACATTAAAAAGTGCATTTTCCGCAAGGTCTGAAAAATTTTTGGTGTCCTTTATTTAGCTACGCCTGGTTCAGACTCTCCAGGCCAAGCCATGGAGGCAGAGGAGATAATGAAGCAACTTGACATCGAGCAGGCCAAGGAAATGCCCAGCAGCACGCTCACGTCCTCCGAGGGCATCGCCGCTTGTCACGGCAGCCCGCCGTTGCCGCAGAGGCTCCAAATGAGCGCCGACTCCACCGTGGAGGATGGCGAGATTGTGACTGAAAGCGACATGCCCTCGTTAACAGGTACCACCAACTTGGACTCACTGAGGCACTCTCACGTCAAGGCATGTAATTCACTACTCGGGAACCGTGCATGATTTGTCAGTTCTCCAGGTGAACTGGAAATGCTTAATTTATGTGCTTCAACAACCAATTACCTGGCTGGATATTTTAATCGGCTAATATTCTTAAAAAGCTGTGTGTGTTGGGGGGGGGGGGAGTTGAATAAATTAACACACTACAACATAAAACATTTAAACATTCCACCTCCCCGAAATGTTTTCATCATCTCTTGTACATTTAAACCTCTTCACCTTTACATGTCGTCTTCATACAGGTAACACTACATCACGTCTATCTTTTCTGCCTCCAACAGCTCCTCCTGGTTGTTTGCCAGATGGCAGCTATCCACACTCGATACCCTCCGCCCCCGCAGAGCCGTCGTACGAGGAAGACTGGGAAGTGTTTGACCCGTAAGTGTGCACGCACACACTGGCACGCGCATAATTAATGAGCTGTTAAGCAAAATAGCAGATCAATATCAAAGTGGAGCTCCCCGGGCGAAGTGGAGAGATGTTATACTTGTAAATCACATGAGGAGAGAATGATTGCTGCATTAAAAAAATTCTATACTGTATACAAAATAAAATAAAATAACATACCAACCACAAGATGGCAGCAAATCCAATTTACAGAGTACATGTTAAGATTCAACTGAATTTGTCACCTAATTATCTTACTCAAGTACACATGTCAACAGCAAAGTAGACTCCATTGGCTATTGCTGGTAGTAGCTGCATCAGTTGCGAAGCAGAAATATACTTTATGTTTTGCAGGTACTTCTTCATCAAGCACGTGCCACCATTGACAGAAGAGCAGCTGACACGCAAACCAGCACTACCTTTGAAGACACGCAGCACGCCCGAGTTTTCTCTCGTCCTCGATTTGGTAAATAGACCTCAAGAGCAAAAGAGCCTCTTTTGCTCTTGGGGTCCTCTTAGAAGGAGAGTGGATGAGTTTTTGATCAGGTTTTCATTGTGTACTTTTTTTTTTTTTTTCCCAGGATGAAACTTTGGTTCACTGCAGTTTGAACGAACTGGAAGATGCCGCGCTGACGTTCCCTGTGCTCTTTCAGGATGTAATATACCAGGTAAGAACTCTAGACTGGTCATGTGTGGACATAATATTCCTTGTTGTTGTTAGTAAGTGTTCTCCTTGTTTTTTTTTTTTTTTTTTTTTTTTAACATAGGTACTTTTGCGATTAAGGCCATTTTTCCGGGAGTTTCTCGAGCGCATGTCTCAAATGTATGAGGTAAGTTTTTTTCGTTTTTTTTTTTTTTTTCTTTTTTCACACCACACAGCAGGACACTTGCTTCACTCAAGTTGCTCTTGTTTGAATTCTCGCATTATTTCAGATTATTCTCTTCACGGCGTCCAAGAAAGTGTACGCCGACAAGTTGCTCAACATCCTTGATCCCAAAAAGCAGCTGGTCAGGTCAGTGAAGAATCCCCGCCCCGAAATATTTGTGGACAAAAGTATTGAGAAGTAAAATTTTAAATTTAGAGATGGTGGGGGCAAAAGAGTCAAAAGGTGTGTGCCTTCCTAATTTTTCTCAATTGTTTTTAGACACCGTCTGTTTCGTGAGCACTGTGTGTGTGTCCAAGGAAATTATATAAAAGACCTCAACATTTTGGGACGAGATCTTTCCAAGACGATAATAATTGACAACTCACCTCAAGCCTTCGCCTATCAGGTAACAACTGGGACTCCTCAATTGTATGTCAGTGAATGTGCTGTTCGTCCTGAAGCAAGGTGCGAAATCAGTGTCAGTAAAAGTCAAAATGAAATAAAAACTACGAATGAAAAATCCACTCACCAAGCAAATAACCCTATCAGATGTCGGTTATAATAGGAAATGATTTGATTCACCGCCATTTGTAATTTTTATATAAACATTCTATTATAGATGGAAGATGTTTAAAGTCCCTGTAAAGTGAAATTAAATGCTTCTCAAAGCGTATTGTTACCAACCTTTTTTTTTTTTTTGTCATCAGCTCTCCAATGGGATCCCAATCGAGAGCTGGTTCGTGGATAGAAATGACAGCGAGCTTCTCAAGTTGGTTCCTTTCCTCGAGAAGCTGGTGGAGCTGGTAAGAGTTGCCGCTCAGCATCGTGTACAGTGAACCCCACTTTTTTCGCGGTATTGCTTTGGCGCCATGTGGTGGCCGATAATTTGAAGGGAAATGAGCCAGACAAAAGTAGTTCTTTGCCGCCATCATGTGGCATATAAAGGTAATTACAAATTCTTGTGGGCGGGTGTCATTCTGGAGTTTGGCACCAGGGCTCAGACCCAATCCTCAGATAATCGTGGGGGTTCACTGGACATGATTCCACCCCACCCCTCCCCCTCCCCTTCCATTGACGTCATGTTGATTTTGTGTCAGAACGACGACGTCCGACCGCACATCAGAGAGCGGTTTCGCTTGCACGACCTCTTGCCTTCAGACTGAGCAGCTGGCGTCCGCAACAACGGGAAACCCCGTCCCCTCCCCTCCACAAGGAAGGATGTATTCAATGGATTTCTCGATAAACTCCATATTGACATTATTGAGTTTTCTTTTAAAAAAAAAAAGAAAGAAAGAAAAGGATGCAAAAAAATAAGAGTGAAATGGATGTTTTTATCCAGAGACACTAATATTGTGACTGATATGCTTGCTGCAGCAGGCTAGCTTCTATGGAGGTGTTTTGTCTGCCATTTTGGATCGACAAAACTGAATGTGTTTGTGTTCGGCCAGTCAGACTTGTATTATAGTTACTATTTTCTTGTATATACATGTACAGATTGTTTTTGGGTTTTTTTTCCCTTCAAGGTTTTTAAGTCTTATGTTGAGATTTTAGTTTGGATACTTTTTTTTTTTTTTTAAAGAAAATGATTATATTAGTGTATTATGTTTGCAGTATGCCTGCTTTACTTCTGTGATGCTTTACTCCATTACATGCAGTTGTCTGTTTAAAAGGTGCAGTTAAAAAAAAGTTCTTAATGTTTTAAGGTTCCGTAATGTAAGATAGACTAGACTCTTAAATGAATACAAAGCCATAATGGCCACTCCCTCATTTTGGAGATTTGTATTTGCCACCTTGTTCGACAAAGGGCTTTGACATCCAGCCCATTTGTAAGCTGATTCCACACCCGTCAGATTTCTAAACAGGTGAACTAACGCCTCAGTTTGAGGAGGGGGAAAAAAAAAAGACTTAACACCAGCCATTGCTTTGGATTCCTGTTTTCTGGGACATCTGTTGGCGTTACAAACAAGTTTTATTGACTCTTGAATGATCAATCATGTTGTATTCAGTGTTATTCAATGGTTTTCCATGAAAATAAATATGTTTTTATAGGACTCTGTATCTGCATACATGTACAGGTAGATGACACACTGCGTTTGTGATTTGCACATCTGCCTCACGGTTCTGAGGTTCCAGATTCAAATGTCAGCTTCAGCGACGCTTGCTTTTTTTTGTTGTTTTTCTAACACATTCACTCCGCACTCGGATGTTTTTAGCGTGTCTGCTGAATGTGCTGAACCCACATCACCCCCAAATGTAACTAAAAAATAGTTTCTTATCCCTACATATTTGAGCCGTGAAAATATATCCACTTAAAGCCTATGTGGGCTGGAATATATCCCAAATGGGTTGTCGTCTCGTAGGGCTTTGCACACCGCCACAATGAGGCACTCTAAAACAGCCACACCAGCCCGAAGCCCTATTCACACCCGTGCTGTCCAGTTGGTTTATTTCTGACCTTTTTACTCACTCTCTCTGACATAAGTGCACTCCCAGCCGACAATGAGGCACTCTAAAGCGGCCATGAAAATGCATTTCTAGTGCCTGCATTGCTAGCTAGCTAACTGCATGTTGCAATTGGATTCTGATGTTCACAAAAGTTTCCCTATTCATTATTTACTTTTCAATGAGTGAATAATGCATGTCTGAGGAATGTGAGAGTCAGTGGCAATTTTGAAGGTAATTTTGTGCCCCCTTGTGGACTCACCCTCTTCCAAAAGGTGTGTTTGTGTGTGTGTGTGTGATTATAAACATGAAGAGAAAAGATCAAAACTATCAGGTGCGCAATTTTAAGAAAAAAAGACAAGGAGGAGAACGCCTCCATGCTAGCAAAATACCATTTACAACATATCTTCCATTTCCAAAGATCACAAACATCAGCTGAATACATTTTATTTTCATTACATATCATTCGTAGTGTATTAAAGGATTGGATTACAATAGCCTCTGGCTGTAAGTTTTCAGTACAAGTTGGAAATTACAACATAATACAGGCATCCTTGCAAGCCGATTTAGGAGAAAGCTCTTATGCATTCGCCAACCAATCGTTACAATCAATCCAAGTCTTTGATCAACAGTAGAATACAAAATCCGCACCGTAATAAAAAAATCTAAAACAAACTCTGAAAATTATTCAAGGTTGTAGGCAGCGAGCAACTTTTTGAGTCTGTAACTCCCCTTTTGATACCCTTGACATTTCACTCTATAACAGGGGTCTCCAACTGCGGGCCTGGAGGGCTACTGTCCTGCCTGTTTTCCGGCTCTCCCGCCTGCAACACATCTGATTTAGACGATCAGCTCATCAGCCAGCTCTGAAGCAGTATTAGAACGATCCTGATTATTTAAATCAGGTGTGTTGCTCTTGGGAGAGCTGGAAAACAGTCAGGACAGTAGCCCTCCAGGCCCAGCGTTGGAGACCCCTGCACAAAGGTGTCCAATCTTTTTCCTCCGAGGATGACATAAAAGAAATAGAAAAGTGACACTTTTTCTACTTTTTAAATACAGTAAAGCCAATCCAGCAATTATACATTGTTCATATATACCAGGGGTGTCAAACTCATTTTTGTCACGGGCCACATTGTAGTTACGGTTTGCCTTGGGGGGGCCGTTATGAATTTTGGAAAACCATATCAATGTTTAATTCCCTCTACATATTATACATACAGTGCACAACAAACTGATGAATAACTATTTTTAAAATCAGAAGTCAAGTATAATGACTGTTATTGTGGATTGCATATGACAATTTGAAATTTTGTTTCAGACTTTAGCAAGCATCATGGAACTTGACATGCTTGATTTGCTTTCGCGGGCCACATAAAATGATGTGGCGGGACAGATCTGGCCCCCGGGCCTTGACTTTGACACCTGTGATACATACTGTAATGATTACCGTACGTATATAATGTAGCTATTTACGCAAACAGTTCATTGACGTACTGTACTCTTTTTCGGCTATTTTATTTTTCTGACAACTCAACTTTTACTTGCGCCAATTGAAAATATCTATCAGTACTTTCTTAGTCAGAATAGCCTTTGCAGGTGTAACAGCGTTAACGTCAACAGAAAAAAGGAGCAGCAGCAACATGGATGGGGTTCGGGGAGCATTAACGACAACGCAAAAGAGGAGCATGATAGCCCCATCCATGCCCTAAAGAAAATCCAACTACTGTATGATTCTTTGTAAGCCTAAAAAAAAACCCCAAGTGAATAAAGACATACAGGTAAGATGTATTAGCGCAATTGCTGAAATTAATTTATCGTTCAGCCAAGCTAGCTAGCAATCAAATTAGCTATAGGACTGATAGTAAGACTATTATTTCATGTCAATTTTTGACTATGTACTTCTTCGACCTTTTTTTTCCACAAGTATCTACTTTTATTTAAGGAGAGTGAGAGTACCTTTGCTTTTGCTTTTTGGTAATTATAGTTGAACCTCAAAGGTCGGCACACCGGAATAGCAACAATCTTGTGGTTTGTTCAGATTTCGAAACACTTTTTTCCCCATAGGAACTAACAGAAAGCGGTCATGCGTTCCAAGATCAAACTTTCATAAAAGGACAAGTTGCACTTTAACATTCTCAACTCTCATACAAGTGTAAAGGTAACCACTTTATTAAAAAAAAAAAAAAAAAAAAAACCATAATAAATTGTGTCCTCCAACACTTAACTTGCCCTCGTGACTTACACTGCAGGGATATTTTTCAAAAAAATGTTGCCCACAACCCCAGGGGAATTCGACTTCAAAAGTTCCACTGTATTTCTATTAGAATGTGAAGAAGTACTGAAAAAGAAATAAAATCAGGATGCTACATGTTCTCATCTGAAGTTCCTTTTTAACTTGTGTAGTGACACACCTTACTGCCTTTTTTTGCTGATGATGACAATGGGGAAACAAACAGAATCAAAACGTGCAGTCAAGGTGCCGAGGCCTCCGGTCACAGTGAGGAAGGCACAGTGGATGAAGAGCGAGTCAGTATTCGTGCGGTCGGTCAACTGAACCGTCTGTTCCAAAAGGACGTGAACGTGTTGGAGTTGAACGTGCCGATAAATATGAGCAGCAGAAGGTAGAGACTCATCATGACAGCAAAGTGGTGTCTGAGGAACCATGAGGTGTTGCGAGAACGTCTGTGATTCAGAAACAAAGCAACAGACAATAGTGATCATGCCACATGAAGCAGATTGAAATAAACATGATCGTAAATATTGGAACTTTGTTTTTCTGTGGCGGCAATGTACCTCTGTGGTTTACAGTCGTGTGCAATTCCAGTTATGTTTCTAATATGTAGCGCATGTCATATTGCAAAGTCAGATCATGAACATATTATAAACATCTCAGTGTACACTTTTTATATTATTTGTAACCTTTGGCATGGAGCTTCCTACCTGGCCGTGTGTCTCCTCTGAGAGTAAACCAGCAGGTACTTGACACGTAAAAGCTGATTGTTTGTGACCACAAAGTACTTTTCCGGCACGTCCCCTCCTTCGCTGTTTTTGGCCCTCGAGCGCTGACGGTCGACAATTTCAGAGTCTGACACAGGTGAGACGAGCGTGCGAGGTTATGAAGCTTCACGCTGGACTTTGCAACTCGGCATTTGCGGCACGATGCGACGCCGACACACCTTTTCGCTTCACCTGGCACTTGACGTCCGGGTGATCGATGACTTCGCACAAGGCGATGCAGCTGAGCATCGGACCCAGGAGGCTTTCCTGCCAACCGCTGCTGTGGGGACTGTAGAGCACAGCCAAGCTGAGGTCACTGGTGAGGTAGGTCCCTTCCCCAAACACGGAGTTCTGCGTGCGACATACAAAACGCAAACAAACTTCAGCTGGAGTTGACGGTTAAAGATGATCAATTTCTAAACAAAACAAAAAAAGACTACTGATTCAACCCCTTCACTTGAATAAAAGTTGAGCACAGGTGCTCTGAGACGGGAGCCCAAGCAGTAAATCAGGCCATCGATTAATCGGGCTGACTACAGGGCATCGCACAAAAATCAACATGGATCAGTGTGTACTCAAATTAGTCACGTTTTTTTTCCTACATGGAGATTTTGTCGTTCTGTTACTGTGTGTCTGTACTGCACTCTGGTAGAGTGGAAGTAAGCAGATTTTGTCAAAAAAATAAAAAACCCAAACACATTGTAGTGCTCCAAGGCGTTAACATCCTCACGGAAATAAGCTGTGAGCACTTCAAGAAGCGCATTCAAGTTGTTTTACCTACGTTGAAAAGACCTTATTACAGCGTTTCAAAGTTGTGTTGGTAGCACCGTTCTCAAATTAAAATGAATGTAACTGTTGATTCCCACATCCCATATTTTGAAATATAATACTTATATAAAGCTCAAAAGCTATTGTCCTTATGTTTACAGTGTTATAAATTAAAGCTTATTTTAATTTAGAGGGGCTCTGCTTCTTTTTCTTGAATCATATTTTTTGATATTATGAGACAATGTTATTTCATATATTGGCCAATAAATTCCTTATTGTCCAACATATTTAGATCAGCATTTTTTAAAGATGCCTCCAATATTAACATCCATCTTAATTGGTAAGGATTACTTCAGTGTTTTGAATTTTTATATATATATATTTTTTTTTAGGGGGAAATTTTTTCTTTACAATATGTTCTACCCGACCCACTTGTCTAATTACAGCAGTCAAATTACTATTTGTGTTTGTGGAATATGAATTAATCAGCAAAATCCACCTGTTTTCATCCATCTCAAGGGGTGGTCATTATGTTATAAAATGCTATGAATGAGAAAATAAAAGTTTTCTAATAGCAGAGGGAAATGAAAAGCAATATTTACTGTTATGTTTCACTGTAAATTTTTTTTCTAACCAATGAATCAAATCTTTTTCAAGCGTTGCAAGTGTGACAAGTCTGAGTCAAAACCGACAGCTGACTCACCTCGAGTCAAGTGGAAGTGGAAGCCGAATGCCGCACTGACCTTGTTGAGGTGACAGTGGAGCCCGTTGTGGATGATCGAGTGAAAGTTCTCCAGGCGACTCCCGTGGAAGGCATAGAAGACATCCCGGTCCTCTCTCATCCGTTCAAAGCGCGCGTTCAATTGGTCGCAGTATTCCAGCTCGAACAGGAAGTCCGGCGCAGGAGCAGAAACGCCGTCGCTTTGCGTCAGGGTACAAAGTTTGGCGTACTGGTAGAGTGTGGGAGAACGGATACAACCGAGTAAGTGGGAGAAAAAGCCGTCATGTGTGCATTTGTGGTGAACGGTTTGTACCTCATCCTTCTGTAGTGTCTTGACAGCAAAGCTCTTGGAAGAGAGGATCCAATGCGCAAGGGCCATATGGTGCTCTCCCTCTCCTGGTCGCAACCGTACTAACTCCCTCACACCGGGGAAGGAGTTCACGTCTGCCAACTAGACACACGTAATTTGTTTTCCCTTTCATGGAGAAGATCACGAAAATGAAAATACACTGGCAAAGAACATGGATGGATGGATATCCTCTAGGGCTGATCAATCCTGATCTATCGCAAAATTCAACCGACGGGAGCGGCTCAATTGGAAGTGAAGAGGCTGCCGGTCTAAGGATGGCATCGTGCGGATGTCCAACACTCAGACTCAGACTGTGCTCAACCACAAACTGTTGCGGTTTTGGAGCGTCTCTGCAAGATGGACAAGAACCTGGAGAAACTGGAATCCGTGCTCAAATTTTGACAGAAATCACGGATTTGGCTGATCGACGCCACTAAAGAGACATTAGCCACGGACTCAAGGCTGTCTTGAATTCTTGGGCAGCCTGCTTCCAAAACAACATCTGCTATCTCGACCTTCCCCTGATGAAAGTATGCACGGAAGATAGTCCCCCACCATCACCCCCTCCTTCATACACTCCCTTGTATCACCGCCTTCATTGTTTATGTCTTGTGACCTGTTGTAACTGTCATATGCTTGTGCAGGAGTTTTTTGCCTAACTCAAATTATCCTCAAAATGAGGATAGTTCGAGCGTGTTTTTTTTCCTCCCCCTCTCCCTCCCTTGTGGTTTCTTTCTGACTTCCGGGTTGAGTGTAAAGTGATATATATTTTTTTTTTTTTAACAAACACAAGCAATATATTAACAACTTCACAAAATTCTAACAAGTTCAGCGTAAATATAAGATCACAACAAATGCACGAATCCGTGGCTTTGTCTGCTCAACTTTTCATGTTCCATAACATGCGGACTGTAATACTTAAATGACCGTTTTTAATTGAAAGTCTCTCAGCTGTACATTAAGCTTGTTTTGGGGATGCGGGAGGAAGCCAAAACTAATCGTGTACACCTTACCAGTGCATCAAAATCTTTACTGTCCTTGTGTATATATCGAGGAGGGAAAGGGCGAAGCAAAGAATCCTTCTTGTAGTTTTGGGCAGCAGCAATAAACAGGCTGCAGCGAAGATCGGCCGCCACAGGATCTCTGTGAAGACAGGAGCACACCAGCTCTCGGACCACCTGCGGCGGGAGTGGCGGCTGCATTCCCGGCACTGCGAAGAGAGGCAAACCAATTAGATGTTAACAGAATGGCAAAATGGGATTGAGCCAACATGTAGGTGCTGTTGGACAGAATCTGCTGGTATGGCTGGATGAATGGCAGGAGGAGCTGAATATGAGCAGAGAGGAGTGTTGTCAACGTGCAGCTGGAGGTGAGCGTAAAATGAGGAACTCGGAAGTGGGACTAGAAAATTGAACCATTCTTTCTTTCTGCAGGATATTGGGCTTTCAAGTGAAATTTCAGGATTTATCCAAAACGCACAACTATCTTTCCTGTTCAACTTATTTGACCGTCTCTAAACTTTTGAATGCACATGTTCAATGTTTCAATACCTTAAAACAATTTATTGTGATCTAAACAAGGGCAAAATTCACGTTTCATCCATGAATGCAACACAATTGAAAAGGTCGGTCTATTTGTCAGAAAAACATTGTCCATTTGTTCTTTTCAACACATTTAGTTTGAAAGCTATTTAGTTGACTGTTTGTTAATGCAACACAACAGAGAACAGCTTCCAGCTCTTGATCACATCGCAGTTTTACATCAAACAACACATTCACTTCGTATCCGTGATCACCAGTGCGACGCACTATCTATGGATATGCTCACAGATTTGCAAGAAATCGCTGTCATGAGGTTAAAAGGCGTTAATGGTTGGCTATAGCTTTTAATGCTAACGGCTAATGCTAGCTGTCACAAAAGTGTCAATATGCAAATACACTGACGATGTAAACAACACTATCGACTCACTGTTCAAGATGTATGTCGTTTAATATACTCGGGTGGTACCTAGACCGATTTCCCCTAAAATAGGAAAGTTGATTGTCTTCAAGTGGCCTTACCTCAAGTTCGCTCAACTCATAACAGGCAGCCCAAGACCAGGAAAAGCTGACATTAGCCAATGGCACTGTTGCGTTCATTGACTCCCGGGAAAAATAATACAGAATAGCCTCGAATGAAGCCTGAAATTCAAACTCAAAACTATCCCATCGGTCATTCTGAAAATATAAAAATAAATTATCCCCATTAAGATTTTTGTATTTGACAATCTCATACTTGTGATGTGCGACAACAGCTTTCACCGCGGTCAAAAATAATGAAACATATTGCCGCAGCCCTTTTCGACAACCTTGTAAGACCAGAACTCGGTTAATTTGTCCGGCCAGTTGTAGCTACATTTGATACAGTATACATAAAAGTGAAGCTTGTAGGAAGGAAGCCATGCTTTATTGTATTAAATAACGAATACAAGCATTACATATTTTTTTCCCCGATCATAGATACTTTGAAACAATGCAATTAAAACTAACTGCTTGGAGTTTTGTCCATAAGGTGAAAATATATTTTTTTAACCCTTATTTATTATTATTTATTATTTCATCCCCAAATATGTTTTTCATTTTCATACGTACATTTAAATAGGTCTTTTCGTGTAAATTGGAAGTGATAAATAAAGTTGAGAATAGACAGAAAAAAACCCCACGCCAAAAAACAAACATTTTCTCCGAACCATTATCGCTCCTAAATATCGGTACGTAGGCTTCTTTATTAACTTAAAATATCTTAAACTAAATTAATCTTTTTGGTTTGAATAGTGTGTCAACTTTCAGTTTACAAAGAAATCCGCTTGCTAGATTGTTTTTTGTTTATTTATTTGTTTGTTTGTTAACTATTTAGCTCACTCGTTCGCAGATAGCGCTTGGACATTATGTGACGTCACTGACAAGCAGCCAGTTGGATTTGATTGTGTAATCATCTCCAAAGCAAACTGCTGTTGATTCAACAGCCCTGCTTTCGTGATTGGTTGATTCGGTTCAGTAGCAAGTCCGGTGTTTGCCCATTCGGGCTAAAACCGTGAGCTAGATGAGTGAGTGAGTTAAAAAAAAAAAAAAAGACCCCCACGTCACGTGATCACCTCCTCCTCCCAAACCATCATTCGAAGCCCAACGGTACATTTCTTTGGCGGATTTATCCGTTTCAAAGCGTGCATTTGGACGAAGATTCATCTCTAAGATGCTTTTCAAACAAAAACGTGGAATTCTAGCAACTCACTAAACGCAAGGTAAGTCGATTTATGCACATATTTCCATTCATACACTCCGTTGAAAAGGGTTGAAATCCAACCGGATTCCGTAGCCTCGCTGTCCGGGGGAAGAAGCGCGGATGCACCCGTGGCGTGACGCACAGGGTGAAGGACAGCGCTTCTCAATCGCCCGGCATCGAGATGCACGGTGTCCCACTGCAGTGCCATTGCCCTCGTCATCTTAGCTAAAAAAAAAAAAAATGGAATGCATTCCGTACCACAATGTATCCAACAACCTTCCCCAAAAAAGATTACGTTTGCGCAGAGAGAGCTTTAATATTCGGCGACAGAAAGATGCCCTTCGTGGCATCCACCATGCTATGCACCACCATGTCCTCTATAACCCGTCAACATGTAGCGTTTTTTGTTGTCTACGAGTATTGTGCAATACGTGAGTCCGGTTGGCCTGTATCTTTTGGCCTGTATGTATCACCATTCTTCCCGTTTCAGTCCACAAGGCCACGTTGCTCCAAGCTGTCATCTATATGACACAGCCTTCCTATCGGCTCACTTTTCATTCATTCTGCTGCACAAATAACACGGAAAGAGACTTTATTATGGGTGGATGCACTGGTATGACTGGGTAGCGCCTCTCACCTATTTGTATGGGGGTGGAAAATCTGTCACAAGAAGGCCTGTGCATGTCATGTTCTCTCCCTCTCTATCTCTTTCTTTTAGTACTTTTGTTTTTAAGACAGCTGATCTAAAAGCTATTCTTTGCAAGCGGAAGAAAATATACAGCTCTCATCATGGCAGGTATGCTAATACACCTTTACCACAGTCAGGATTAAAACATCGGGAATATAATGTTCCCATACAACAGCCTTTATGCATTGTAGACTGCTTTACTCAAGTATAGTTTTGCAATCGTAGAGAACAACTTCCCTCCCCTGCCTCGATTCATCCCCCTCAAGCCGTGCTTTTACCAAGATTTCAATGAGATCCCTGACCAGCGTCGCACCATGTGCAAGCGGCTCTACTACTTGTGGATCCGTAAGTGTTCCACGACCTCAACCCTCATGAGGATCAGCGGTTCAGATAATGGCTGGATGGAATTGTGGTGAAAGGGAGATTTAATGAAGTCAAAAAAAAATCGGGACTTGACTATCATTCTTTTTGTGGCAGTGAATAGTGCTACACTGGCTGTTAATCTGATTGGCTGCCTGGCGTGGATGTGTGGCGGAGGCGGGGCCACTAATTTCGGAATGGCTTTCCTGTGGCTCATCCTATTCACTCCTTGCTCATACGTGTGCTGGTTCAGGCCTATCTACAAGGCCTTCAAGTAAGCCGCTTCCACTTAAACGCATGACGTCATTCAAAAAATATACAGTATATAAAAAAAGACATAAAAAAGCGCTTGTTTCTAATGTGCAAATGTTTCCTCCCCTCAGGACGGACAGCTCATTCAACTTCATGGCGTTTTTTTTCGTCTTCATGGCCCAGGTTGTGATCAGTATTATCCAGACTGTTGGCATTCCGGGTTGGGGAGTCTGGTAAGCTTTTCAGATCGATTTAGCTGCCTCATTGGTTGTATTGTATTATACAACTTGCCAGACACATTTTTTTGAATGTACCGATACACCTGTACACTTCAAATGCCTGTAAAATCCTCTAACAAATACATCCAGGAAAAACAAACAAACAATTGATTACTCGAATACATGACCTATTTTGCTGCCCACGCTGCTCTTCAAATGATTTGTCCTATTTAAGTGCAGTTCTTAGAGTAACTGACGCAGTTTGAAACTGAACGTCTGTTTTGATGTGCCCACTTGAGAATGCCTCAGAATTTCGGCGCGTACGAGCTTATTGGTGGGTAATTTTGACTGAAACTTGTCAGCTAATCGAAGAAGGCGTTCCCCAAGTTATTTTTTTGGACCAGGTTTTATCACAGAAATATATATTTTTTACAACACAAAAGCTCAATTTCGATGGTCCGATTTTGAAAATTCTTGTTGCGTTGTACTCAAGTTGAAGTGGCCATTCCAACCAGACTGTTCATTTTGACAGACTGTCATTTTTCTGCGGTGCTCTATATTATTTTGAGGTTCATCGCAATTCACAGTCGCTGATGGTATAGTGGCACCTGAATTTGGAGCTGGCAATGTAGGTTAATTTCCCACCGGGTGATTGTGTGAATGGTTTTATGTCTATGCTGTATGTACCCTGTCTTGTCCAGGGAAACCAAGACAACGAAAGTATTCATAAAAAATGATGAGATTTATTTAAGAAAGAAAAAGAAAAGAAAAAAAACATGGAGGGACACCGTTCACAGATCTGTCAAGGGAGCCTTCTCCCCCTCTGCGTCTTGCGCTCTCATTTTATCTTGTTGGGAGGTGGTGAAGGTCAGCGCAGTTAGCATTTTGAGCAGCTACACGGAGTACAGACGAGTGCAATTTTGCTTATCCGCAAAATAACTGGTCAGCATTCAAAGGTATGCTCAGCATTTAATAGTACGAACAGTTACTTCCATTTAGCGCTGTTATATGTTAAATTCCCATTATAACCCTCGGCCACGGGGTCGATTGGTTAGGGCGTCGACCTCACAGTGCAGAGGTCATGGGTTCGATCCCGACTCCGGCCTTCCTGTGTGGAGTTTGCATGTTCTCCCCGTGCCTGTGTGGGTTTTCTCCGGGTACTCCGGTTTCCACCCACATTCCAAAAACATGCATGACAGGCTGATCGAACACCCTAAATTGTCCCTCGGTGTGAGTGTGAGCGCGGACGGTTGTTCGTCTGTGCGTGCCCTGGGATTGGCTGGCAACCGTTTCAGGGTGTCCCCCGCCTACTGTTGCTACAGTGCAGCAGTTTGGCACACTGGCAAATCATCATCATGTGCATCAGAAAGAAAAGACTTTGTTCACAATTTTGTTATGTTAACTGAACTTTCATACAGGTATATCAAAACTATTACATATCGGTACTCAGTATTGGTGAGTACCCAAAGAGTGAATTTGGCAAATCATCATGATCTGCATCAGAAAGAAAATATTTTGTTCACAATTTTGTCATTATGTTAACTGAACTTTCATACAGGTATATCAAAACTATTACGTATCGGTACTCAGTATTGGTGAGTACCCAAAGAGTGAATACTCGTACTGGTACCGGTCTGATCAAAAGTGGTATCCCTAATCAATACTGTATGTCAAACACATGACCTCTTTTGTTGTGTCTGTCAGTGGCTGGCTGGCTACCATCACGTTCTTCAGCACCAACATCGGCTCAGCCGTGGTCATGTTGATCCCTACTATCATGTTTACCGCAGTGGCAGTGCTCTCCTTCATTGCGCTCTCAAAGGTTACACACACATACACACACACACACACACACACACACACACACACACACACACACACACTCAGTTGAAGTCGCAGTACAAAATCCCTCCTCCATTTTTGGTTATTTACATGCCATCTCGTTCAGGTGCATAACTTCTACCGCGGCAGCGGTGGCAGTCTGGGGAAAGCCCAGGAGGAGTGGGCCACCGGGGCCTGGAAGAACCCCCACGTCCAGCAGGCAGCTCAGCAGGCTGCAATGGGGGCAGCCCAGGGAGCCATGCAGCAGAACCAGTACTCCGCAGCACCCACCTATAACTATGATGACCCCATGTAGGACAAGTCAAGGGGGGTTGTTCTTCTGTAGAAGAGATACAAAAAGGGATGAATTAAGAACACAACTCATAATTAGGTGCCCTTTGTTCACAAAGCTGAGAAGCAGAATAATGTAGGGGCGAGTGTTTGGTGCAAATGTACTGTACATTTATTGAACATCAGTGTGAATAAGTTACTTTTTTTCTATCAGTGAAGAGGGATTCGATCTCTCCCTGTTTTACGTCTTCACTGGCATCAACA